CAGCAGACTGTCCCCTAGGGATGCGACAAGTGAGCAGAAAACAGACCTGGGTCAGCTTCGTAAAACCTCCCCTGATCCCAACCCCAAATGACCCTTGAACCTGTGTGCACTTACAGATAGGTATAAGTTTATACAGATAGGTATAAGTTTATACCATTTTACATCATGTTTCTTTTCAGCAATGTTATTTCTGGAGAGTCCCTGTTTCTCCTACTAGATTACAGGGCATCGGGGCATGGGGAACACTCAGCAGGTGGATTTCATTGACAATGAGCCTCAGTTAGCCTAGTTCAGTAACTGAAAGACATGTAAACAAACACCAACTGGGTTTCCTTTCGTGCTAATTTGGTGTAGAAATGGTGGCTACATATAGTCAACCACAACAAAACACTGCTCACAGAGCACTTTCATGAATTAGGAATAAATGCCCTTCAAGATCTCTTAAAATTCTGCAAGAGCCTGACAGCTTTGTGTAAAATAACCCCTTTGCTAATCTGCAAATGAAATGTCCAGGCTCCCTTGCCAGTGCAGCTCCTCAGTGGCTGCATCTTTGCCATCTCAGGGCTCCGAGGATCTCGGTGGCTTCCTGCTGTGGCGTCACTCATAGGGCTGCACGTCCTCTCTTGAATCACCTGGGATGGGCCGCTTTCCTGACCAGACCCCCACCATGTGTAACAGCATACACATTTTTCCTCCTCTCATTGAAGGCTATTCACAATACATGTGAAACTAGACCTCCCCCCTCAGTCTCCAGGGCTGGCTCGGACCCTGGCCTTCTCGTGATCTGGGATCAGGAGTGAAGTTAGGAGACGGACTGCAATCAGCAATTAGGTTAAACCTGCTCCTTTCCCAAAAGACCATCAGTTCCCCTAAACTTAATTCCTCTTCATTCGTGGAAATCCACTTCTACCTGCAGGGGTTTACATCTCAAATTCTCTCATTTCTACCTCACAGGTGAATAGTGGCCAGTATAGGGTTGGCTGCTTTTTTTTTTTTTTTTTAATTTTTATTGGAGTAGAGTTGCTTTATAATGTTGTGTTAGTTTCTGCTGTAGAGCAAAGTGAATCAGCTATATGTACACATATATCCCCTCTTCTTTGGATTTCCTTCCCATTTAGGTCACCACAGAGCACTGAGTCAGGTTCCCTGTGCTATACAGTAGGTTCTCATTAGTTATCTATTTTATACATAGTATCAATAGTGTACATGTGTCAATCCCAATCTCCCAGTTCATCACATACCCCTCCTTTCCCCTTGTTCTCTACGTCTGTGTCTCTATTTCTGCTTTGCAAATACATCTATACCGTTTTTCTAGATTCCACATATATACTTTAATATACAATATTTTTCTCTTTCTGACTTACTTCGCTCTGTATGACAGTCTCTAGGTCCACCCACGTCTCTGCAAATGACCCAATTTCGTTCCTTTTTATGGCTGAGTAATATTCCATTGCATATATGTGCCACATCTTCTTTATGCATTTCTCTGTTGATGGGCATTTATGTTGCTTCCATGACCTGGCTATTGTAAATAGAGCTGCAATGAACATTGGGGTGCATGTGTCTTTTTGATTTGTGGTTTTCTCTGGGTATATGCCCAGGAGTGGGATTGCTGGTTCATATGGTAATTCTGTTTTTACATTTTTAACGAACCTCCATACTGTTCTCCATAGTGGCTGCACCAATTTATATTCCCACCAACAGTGCAAGAGGGTTCCCTTTTCTCCACACCTTCTCCGGCATTTGCTGTTTGTAGGTTTTCTGATGATGCCCATTCTAACTGGTGTGAGGTGACACCTCATGGTAGTTTTGATTTGCATTTCTCTAATGATTAGTGATGTTGAGCATTCTTTCATGTGCTTCTTGGCTATCTGTTAGAGTTGGCTTCTTAATAGTGGAATTGTGTTTCCCCCCACCCCTGCTTTTATCCCAGTCTTGTTTAATGGAGTGTAGACTGCATTAGATGGTGGTGAGGAGAATCCAGCCATAATAGGATACCTATTGTTAGCTGGATTCCACAGAAAATCGTGGTATTGATACTGGTTAGGCTGGTAAAGCTGCTATGAGACCCCGAAATTCAATGGCTTAAATGAGAGAAGTTTCTCTTTCATGTAACAGCCCAAACAGAAAAACAGGACCGATGAGGGAAGCTTCTGGTGCCGAGGACACAAGTGCCTTCTAACCTTCAGTCCCATCTGTGGCCTCGGACAGCTGCTCCAGGTCCCACTTGTTACTGTCTGCATTTTCCCAGGTGGAAGGCACATCGCACACCCTCGTTCAAGCATGTCACTCACTAGCAGTGTACACCGTCTGTTGCCTCCACTAAGTCACCAGGCCACAGGATGTGTGTTTGTAGCAGTGTGTCCAGCTCCAGCTGGGACTTTCTGTTATCAAGAGGATGGATGCTACTGGCAACAGCTTCTATCACAATACACAGTCTCTCAAATCAGTCCCCTGTGCTCTGAATTCCCGGGATTTATGATTACTATAACAAAATCCCTCATGATGGGGGCTGACCCTCCTACCCTTGAAAGGCACGTATATATATACAACTTTTATGTTTTTTGAAGTATGAAAGAAGTGGTAATAACAGCTAACATTTATGAAGTCCTCACCTTGCTCTGTAGCAAGAGCCTGGCACATATTAATCCTCACCTCTGAGACAGGGGCAGTTATCATCCCATGTTACCCCTGAGAAAACTGAAGCACAGGGAGATGAAAGAATCCACCTACAGTTAGCCAGCAGGCAGGGGCGGTCTGTCCAGGGCCTGGCACTCATCACTGCACAGTGGCACAGATTCACAGAAAGGTCAAGACTGGGGAGCACTGGGGACTGAGGTCTGTTCTCAGGTACTTAGAAGTTAAAAACAGCAAATGGTAAGATTTCATTCTAACATGGTGCTTGCTCTTCCTTTTTATTTATTTATTTAGGTTGTGCTGGATCTCACTTGAGGCACACGGGATCTTTTTTTAGTTGCTGCATGCGGGCTCTTAGTTGCGGCATGCACGTGGGATCTAGTTCCCTGACCAGGGATTGAACCCGGGCCCCCTGCACTGGGAGTGCAGAGTCCCACCCACTGGACCACCAGGGAAGCTCCTTTTCCTTTTTAAATGTAGACAAAATTTACACTAAAATAGGCACCGATTTTAAGTGTATATTTTGGTAAGTTTTGACAAATGTCAACCAATGTGTACCTGTACTACTATCAACACAATAAGATGCAAAGCGTCTCTTTCACAGTGAATGTCCCCTCATGTCCCTCCCAGCTCACCACCCCACTCAGAGGCAACCCCTGTTCTGATTTCTATCACCATAAGCTCTGCCTTACCACTTTTGTGTGGGGTTCTTTTGCTTAGCATGGTTTTCAGATTCAGCCACCTTGTTGCTAATAATAAACCTCCATAGGATTACCATATGACGATTCCAAATTTGTTTATCCATTCTTATGGGGTTTATCCAAACACCTGAGTGTTTCTCGTTTGGCTATTACGAATAAAGCTGCTATGAACATTCTGTGAACTTTCTTTTTCACACCTAGGGCTGCTCTACTGAACCATAGGGAGGCCTACGTTTAACTTTACAAGAAACTGCCTCATAGTTTTCAAAGTGGTTGGCTCATTATACACTCCTACGAGCAGTGTATGAAAATTATAAAACTGCTCCACATTCTCACCAAAATTTGATACTGTCAGTCTTCTAATTTTAACCATTCTGGTGGGTGTAAAGTAGTATCGTTGTGGGTTTAATTTGCATTTCACCCATCCTCAAATTCACTGATTCTTCTGTTGTGCTCGATTGACTGTTAGTACCATCCAATTTTTTTTAACCAAGGATGTCAATTTTATTTCTTTAGGTTTTTTTGTATTTAAAAAGTTAATGTATAAATTACACAGTAAAATTAATCCTTTTTATTGTACATGCCTGAGAGGTTTGACAAGCATATGTAGTTGTGTGACACTACCACAATTAAGACAAAAGCTTCCAGCGGTCTTTAAAATCCCCTAAGCCACTTTATAGTCAGCCCCTCCCCCGCCCGCGGCGACCACTCCCCTGCCTGTCCCTTTGCGTGAACGTCCAGTGAATGGGGTCACACAGCGTGGAGCCTGACACCTTAGGTACAGCTGTGCATCCGTTTCTGGGAAGCCGTGGGTGCCCACAGGGCTAGGGTGGTGAGAAAGTAACCTACTCCGGCTAAGAGAGTAATCCGAGCCCGATAAGCCTGACGCAGAGACGAGTCTGCTGCAAAGTTAACAGGAGTCACGCTGCGGCTGGAAAGTCGGCTTGCTTCGGCGGAGAAAGTCGTTCTCTAGAATCCCAAGCTGTCAGAACCTAGAACCTCTGCTGTTTGAAAGTGTGTCCGTGAGAGTAACATACCCGACGTTCGCCTGTAGGATCTTGGTCGCTTTTACCAGCCGAAGCAGCCAAGTTTCCACCCAGCACCACACAAAGCTGGTCGTTTCCAGGGAAACCGGAGCGGTT